TGGAAACAAATCGGGTAGCTTACAGGATTTGAGATATCAATGTTTTGTAGCAGGATAGTTGTGATAACACTCTAGGGCTATATAAACACCTGCTTAGCACACTTCCGTTCATTCCACATGGTGCTGCAGTGGCAGCTGGAGGGCAGTGGAGAGAGGAAGGGAGGATGAGGAAGGGAAGCGAAAAATCTACCGTCATATCATGATTATGGCGATTCCCTCTACTATATGAAACACCATTGTGTTGCATACGCGTCACTTCCACGAGGTGTTGGTGTCACAGGTGGAAGGGACCACAGCGGAAGACGTAAAGCTTGCGCAGGAAAGGAAGGTCCCGGCGGTTGACGGGGGACCAATCTGGTAGAATAAATTTGTGAAAACCTGGATATTCTCGAGCGGGCAGTTTTTTCACTCCCTCCTCATAGTCCGCCGTTTTGCCAACAGACAACCACTTGTTCGCTCTCTAGCACACCTCGAGCAGAAACCTTGGTTTAACCAACACGATTTCGAAAACGACACCCAATCTTTATTCCACCCTAAATCTACGGCATTTCATAAGAGGGAGTGAACTGCTGCCCACGCAAAGGCAATGTGTTGCAGATAAAGGTGATGCAGATGTTGAATAAATATGCCAGAAAATTGACAGAAAAAAATAAAATCGAAAAACAGCCGGGGTAGCCCGGAATTTGTGGACCGACCTAATATTATAGAAAGAGAACAGATTATTTTTACGATTAATCGCATGCAACTTACTTTATTCCTTGTGAGAATGACCCCAGGATATGTAAGGGTTTGTATTCCCTTCTGGTTGTACCACACAGCATACATCTGAACTGGATCTGTGTTGTGCTGCAAAATGTTCACGATTTACCAAGAAATCATTTCGTTAACAGAGAGACATGACTAAACTCACGAAGTTTTGCTTGAGGAACTTCTCAATAAGTGTCCGGATGTCTTGCATTCCAGCTGTCATGTAGCCTACTTGCTCAAATGCCCCGAACTTAATTACTTCGCTACGTAAACAGTTCACGGTATTTGGCTTTGGAGTAGTGAGACGCTGCACGGGAGACAGCGCCACGACGACCAGGATAAGGTTTAAAAAGTGAAGGAAAGTTGTCATTTAGTGGCTGTGGGAATCTAGACGATGGTGATCCATCACCCCCTCTGGGTTTTTATGGGCACCTGGTCGCACTGTCAGCACTGTGTGTGCACTTCACGACTGGCTCAGCTTTTGTGTAGTCAAAGATGAATATTAATCTTGTACAGTGTGCGCGTCATGAATTGAAGGCGAACATTCTCTGGGGTGGGTGGGTGGCTGTTTTCAAACATGTGATTCCAATCCTAAAGCTGTAGGGATTAAATGGAACTTGGTCGAGGTGAGGTTTCTTCGTAGTGTGCCCCAAACATGATATCGTCATGCCCTTGTGGAAAGTTCAGATTTTTTGCATTTCCAGATAAACTCGCGGAACTGAAATGTGCCCCGTTAGCTTCTCCGTGAAAAATGCTATGGAATTATATGCATTACTTCCCAGTTGAAACTTTGTTTTCACCGTTTTCAGCCTTCCCCTATTGCCGGATTGGGCACTATCCCACGATTACTGCCCCAAAATCTCAAAGTTTCATTTTTCGTCGAAACTTTGTCTATTGGGGTAATTCGATGCCCTGATTACGAATATGACATTCATTTTTGATGCTGGTGTCATTTGGCGCCAATTTGGCGCCACGGCTGTTTCCACCAAATCCGCTGAAAACGTGTGTATAGGGGTTATTTGGGGTCCTGATCACGAATATAACATCCAGTCTTGACGCCGGCGCCATGTGGTGTCACAAACAACACTTCACAGTCAGAGCGTACTCTTAGGCACCTTTCTCAGAGCGCCGACTGTCAGACCGTGGAAAAGGTCATCGAATCGGAGACTTTCCCACGACAGGAAGGAGCCAGAAGCATGTTTCACGTTTTCGACAACGGAGAATAACGATGGCTCTTGCTACTCTTTAGCGACACAATCGTCAATGAGAGCTACTGGGCTTAGCCTTGAAGGACGTGTACGAGACGCTCAAGTTGAATAATCTGCACTTACTGGTTGCGATCCATGGGGTTGATGTCTGTGCCACTATGCCATTCATGTCAACGATCCATGAGCCTGATCAACGACGAACGGCACAACGGCTGGATTTGCAATCGTCGAGCGTGCCGCACTGGACCGTCGAACGAGACCAGGGTCTACGTTCATGCCCGAAAGGATTCCTTTTTCGAGAACTGTAACTTTCCTGAGTCCACGGTGTTCGCACTGCCCTATTTCTGGCTGCGCGACATGGGCAAGGTGAAGGACAAGGAATACGAGCTCAATGTCGGCCACACCAGTTCAATTCAGTGGGAGCGGTTTCTTCCGGCGCGTAATGTGTGGGGCCACGGATCTCTTTCACTGAGGGTCCTCTCTCACTGAAAGATCTCGAGCCGGTTGGTGGCGAGGCTACGTGGCGCGACCCCAGGTGGCGGATAGGGGGTAAATCGCGGACCAAAAGCCACCATGTACTTGCCCTGAGACGCAGGTGGATTCAGGGGATGGACTCCCTGTTTCTGTAGTGCTGTGTCGATTCATACCAGCTTCTCCATACAGGTGTATCCATGCATGCTTGCGTGTGTGGTGCGCTCTGTGTGTGTGCGGTTGGTATCCTGCATGTCGGCACAGCCAAAAAGCTTGCATTCAAGTGACTGGGAAGTACATGGGAGGCGATTCGGGGCCGCCTCCAAGAAATAAGCCCCTTGTTCCGCTCCAGGATAGCGTGGCTAACTACCTGGAGGTCTATCCTAGCCCACACGACAGAGCCTGGCAAGCTACTCGTGTGCCTTCAATATGCCGAAAACAGCAATATGGATGGGCCTCATTCCCCTGAACCTGAGGGAGCCCCCAATACGGCAGCGTTGGGTAGGACCGCTCGGGAGAGGCTGCTAGAATCTCAGGGCCCGGATAGGCTGCCTAAACGAAGAAGGACTAAGATGGCGATCTGTACTTTCAACGCACGGACGCTTGCATCCGAAGCTCACATCGAAGATCTGATGATGCAGGCCAGGAAGATCAAGTACGACGTCATCGGACTGACCGAGACGAGAAGGCACCGCCCGCTACACGCCGTTTTCGATACTGGAGAAGAACTGTTCCTTGGAACATGCGACAGCAGAGGCGTTGGCGGTGTGGGTGTCCTCGTCAACACGCACTTGGCCATAAACATCGATTCGTACGAAAGCCTTACGACCCGAATCGGACGTTTGAGATTGAGAAGATGTGGTTCAACTCCTGCTTTGACAATCTTCGTCGCCTACGCACCAACATCGAGCTACGACGAGGAGGAACACGAAGCATTTTATATGGAATTGGAGAAGTTCTACAAGGAAGATCATACCTTCTTCAAGGTCATCGTCGGCGACTTCAACGCCAAGATTGGCCCGAGAAGAACGGCTGAAGAACTTCACATCGGTACTCACGGAATGGATTGGAATGAGCAGGGCGAAAGACTGTCTGAGTTTATCATGTCGACCAACACCATCCATGGTAACTCGCAGTTCCAGAAGCCCTCTCACCTTCGTTGGACTTGGGAGTCACCTGATGGACAGTTCCATAACGAGATAGACCACACATCATCTTCAATCGAAGGTTTTGCCTGACCGACGTCGCTGTTGTTCCGAAGTTCTACACGGGATCGGACCATCGTCTCCTCCGCGCAAAGTTCCACTTCGATGCGTGTTGAGAGAGCCTCGAAGTTCAGGAAGCGAAGCCCCAGGACAGTCATCAACTGGGATCACTTCACTTCTCTTGTCAGCTTATGGGAGGATTCCGTTATCGAGAACATCGACGAGGAATATCATCGGCTCGTTGAACACCTTCACGAGAGTGGCAGGAAGGCAGAGAGTTTACAAGTCACCAAAGGACGTCTGTCTACGGAAACTCTCGAGCTGATACGCCAACGTGGAGCCGCACGAGCTGCAGGCAATCACCAACTCACGTCCGAGCTTGCGAAGCTATGCAGAGAGGCGATAAAGGAAGATCTCAAGGAGCGAAGAGCAGCAGTATTAGCTGAAGCAGCAGAGGCTGGGAGGAGCATCCGCAATGCCCGCCGAAGCTTTGCCAGCTACAAGACCAAGATGACCTGCCTCCGACGTCCGGATGGAACAGTTACTGCATCCCGAAGGGCAATGGAGAAAGTCATCCACGACTTCTACTCGGATCTCTTCGATAGCCATGTCCATCTGCCCACTTATCAACTGCAACAGGATGGATACGTCGTCCCCTCAGTACTCTCTTCCGAAGTCCGACACGCCATCAAGTCGGTGAAGAATCGTACAGCACCCGGTCTCGACAGGGTCAAACCGGAACATCTGAAGAATGCGCCGCCAGTCATCATCAAAACTCTGGCTCGACTCTTCACGCGCTACCTGTCGGAATGCAAGGTACCCACTCCGTGGAAAACCAGCAGGACCGTGTTGCTGTACAAGAAGGGAGACTTGGACGACATTGGCAACTATCGCCCAATCTGCCTGCTGTCTGTAATCTACAAGCTATTCACTCGAGTCATCCTTAACAGGATCGGCAGAATACTAGATGAAGGACAGCCATGCGAGCAAGCAGGGTTCGAAGAGGGTTCAGCACGATCGACCATATCCACACGGTTACAAGACTCATTGAAGTTTCACGAGAGTACAAGATGCCGCTTTGTCTCACGTTCATCGACTTGAAGAAGGCCTTCGACTCTGTGGAGACAGAAGCGGTCATCGAAGCCTTGGGCAACCAGGGCGTCCCTACTCAGTACATCAAGATTCTTCGTGAGCTCTACAGCAACTTTACGACCAGAATCTCACCATTCTACAAGGAGGTCATCATCGACGTCAAGAGAGGGGTTCCGACAGGGCGACACCATCTCGCCCAAACTCTTCAGCGCCGCTCTCGAGAACGTCATGCGTCAACTGGAATGGGAAGACATGGGAGTGAAGGTCGACGGCCGGCAACTACACCACCTTCGTTTTGCTGACGACATCGTTCTTATAACGCCGAACATCGAGCAAGCGGAGCGAATGCTGGCTGATTTCGACTGCGCCTGTGGTAAGGTTGGTCTACAGCTGAACCTAACGAAGACGATGTTTATGAGAAACGGATTGGTTCCTGATGCCCCATTCACGCTCAACGGAACGAACATCACCGAATGCTCCAGCTACGTGTACCTAGGTCGGGAAATCAATATGATGAACGATCTAGCTCCAGAGCTGAGCAGGAGGAAACGAGCGGCTTGGGGAGCGTATAAGAACATCGAGGGAGTAGTGAAGAAGACGAAGAACATCCGGCTCCGTGCCCACCTCTTCGATTCCGCTGTCCTTCCTGCCCTAACCTACGCCTCAGAGACTTGGACTCTGCGCAGGCAGGACGAGCATGCGGTCAGCGTTATCCAACGCGCTGTCGAGAGGACGATGCTAGGAGTAACCCTATACACGCAAGTGCAGAGGGGAATCCGGAGTGCCGAACTACGCCAACGATCGAAGATCAGGGACGCTGCCGTTTTCGCCAAGGAATCGAAGATAAGGTGGGCCGGACACGTCATGCGATTTTGCGATGACCGTTGGACCAGAGCGGTTACCGACTGGATCCCTCGGGACGTCAAACGAACACCTGGACGACCGCCGGCCCGATGGTCAGACTTCTTCACGAAAGCTCTGAACGAAAGGAATGAAGGACATCGTGTCCCTCGAGCGAGGAGGGTCCACTGGACAACTCTTGCACGCGACAGGGACGAATGGAGACGTTGCTGGCGCCCGCTCGAGCAATTCGATGATCAACGGGACGACAGGTGATACAGGTGATGTTATTTGGTGCACATAAGGAGTACGATTATCGGAAGGTTTGGGTGCGAGATGGAAATTGACGAAACACTGGTTATCAAACGCAAATACAACCGCCGACGTTGGGTACGCAGGCACAAGTGGCTGTTTGGAGGCATTGAAAGAGGAAGTGGACTCCTTCGGATGGTCCGAAGGAAAGACGTTTCAACTCTACTGCGGCTCATCATGAAGTAGTACATCGAGCACGGTACTACCATCCTCAGTGGCAGCTGGAGAGCTTACAGTCGAAT